AAAAAGAACAAACGAGGCCGGGCACAGTGGCTCACCCCTGTAATCCCAGCCCTTTGGGAGGCCAAGGTAGGTGGACTGCTTGAGCCCAGGAGCTCGACACCAGCCTGTGCAACATGGTGAAACCCTGTCTCTACAAAAAATACAAAAATTAACCAGGCATGGTGGCGTACACCTGCAGTACTAGCTACTTAGGAGGCTGAGGTGGGAGACTCGACTTCAGCCCAAGAGGCAGGGGACTGCAGTGAGCTGAGATCAAGCCACTGCACTCAAGCCTGGGCAGGGGGAGTGAAACTCTGTCTCAAAAAAGAAAAGAAAAGAAGAGCAAATGAGTATTATGTTTAAAATACTCTAAACTTAAACTGTACAATATCATATTGTATGAATGTATTGTTTTGAATACACATATATCTTCTTGGATATACAGAGCTATATGTCTTCTGAGAAAATACAGAGAAGTTTGAATAACATAGAAACATGAGTCTGAACAAACATCATGTTCTGATACTCAATGGAAACAATTTTTTAAACCTGGGAAATTAAAGTTGATATACTTCCCTAAGTACCATGCTACTAAATGTAGATGAAACTGAAATATTTGGGGTTGGTATATATAAGTTTAAAAGAAATTTATGCTGGGCTGGTAGCTCACATCTGTATTCCTAGTAATCTGGGAGGCCAAGAGTCTGAGACAAGACTAGGCAACACAGTGAGATCTACAAAAAGTTTACAAATTAGCTGTGCATGGTGGCGCAGACCTGCTGTCCCAGCTACTCAGGAGACTGAGGCAGGAGGATCACTGGAGCCCAGAAGTCTGAGGTTACAGTGAGCTATGATCAAGCCACTGGCACTCCAGCCTGGACAACAGAGTGAGACCCTATCTCAAAAAAAACAAAAACAAAAACAAAAGCCAGGCGAGGTGGCTCACGCCTGTAATCCCAGCACTTTGGGAGGCCAAGGCGGGTGGATCACGAAGTCAGGGGTTCGAGACCAGCCTGACCAACATGGTAAAACCCCATCTCTAGAAAAAATAAAATAAAAAAAAAAGAAAAAGAAAAAAAATAAATGTATCAGCTATGTTCCCTTTGATACACAAAAATTTTATTGTACATTTTAAATTACGACCATTACTATTTTTTAAAAGCAATGCCACTCAAACAGCACAACAAGAAAAACAAAACAAAAGGGAAAATAAACTATAATGATACACCATAAAATTTCTTAGGAAAATCTAGGTTCTTTTTCAGACTGAAATTTCTATAAACATAATTTACTTTTTCACAGCAGGCAGTAAGTCTGGTCACTGGAAAAAATTAAGCACAAAGTCTAATAAAAGTAAAATTTGAAAATGACTAGCAGAATAAGATCCAGATTATGAGTTGGGTAGGGAACTGAGAAAAGGAGGAAAACATTCTCCTATGCTGTAGAAAAGTATCTCTAGCACAATCGCTTCCTCAGAACCGTACAAGGAAATCTGTAGGGGCTACTGGGAACACACTGTTGGACTACGCGAAGTTTCCAATATACCTTGGTTAATTTCTTTGATTACCTAGGTGAAACATTACAAAATGGGAGGAAAACGGAGACTCGGGCAAGACATCAAATTCCGTAAAAACCACTTAGTTTGTATTTGCAGTGCCGAATCTGATAACCAGATGCCTCCCAAAAGTTATCTCCCCTTATTTGCAGTGGAGAATCTGATCCCAGACACCCCCAAAAAGTTATCTATTGATACACAACAGAAGAAAACAGCCCTCCTTCCTTTTTCTCAAATTCTTTGAGATCTCCCTTGGCCAATCTGTCCTTTTTCTGAGTAACTGCGAGTAATTCCAGAAACAAAATCTTAGGGTTCCGTGGGTCCACTTGAAGAGAATAAGCCACCCAGAAAAACCAGCCACCAGACGGTGTGGGCAAAGATAGGGGTAGACCGAGTAACTTGATGCTTTTAAAGACAGCTCCCTACACCCCTCCCTCCGTCCTTTGGGGCTTCTCGGACGGTGACTGGTGACAGCAGCAGTCACCAGTCAGCTTCCTGCCCGTCCCCACCCGGCCACGACCGCCTCGGCACCAGAAAAACCCCACGGCGTCGGGCCCTGGCGTCCTCCGGGTGACGGGCCTTCCTGGGGCTCAGCCTCACCTTCCGCATCAGCTGAGGAGACAAAGGTGAAGTCCCCGTTAGTGGGGGCGTAGGCCGGGGGCGGGCCCGGAGGCTGCATCTCAAGGTCCCTCCGAGCCGGCCGCGGTAGAGGAAGCTGCGGCTGAGCTCAGATCGCAAGGCGGCCGCGGCGCCGACCCGCACGCTCGCCCTACAGTGCGGCCTGCGAGCCCGGATGTGCAAGCTGGGAGCGAGGCCGCAGACGGGCACAGTTAGCCGCTGAGCTGTCCTGAGACTGCCCCACCAAAGACCTCTCGGTGGCGACCACCCAAGCACCACGACGCCGGCGCCCTGACAGGACCATAACAGTGACAGCGCCGCTGGGATTGGCTCTTTGTAATGTGCTCTCCCATTGGCTCTCGGAGGAAGATTCTGATTGGGCCTTCCTGTTGTTGATTCCGGAAGTTTACCCAGGACAGGAAACTGGCTTGTAATTCGTGGAAGTCTCAGGCCGCCTTCTCCTCCTTGGGTGTTTTTGTTCCTTTAAGTCCCATATTTCCTGGCGTTTTCTTTACCCATTTCCTCTGTTTTTGTTAAGTGGGTGTGTTAAATAATTTTAGAACTAGGCAGGTTTTGCCGGGCGTGGTGGCTCACGCCTGTAATCCAAGCACTTTGGAGGCCAAGGCGGGCGGATCACCTGAGGTCGGGAGTTCAAGACCAGCGTGACCAACATGGTGAAACCCTGTCTTTAAAAAAAAAAAAAAAAAAGAACTAGGCAGGTTTTTATAGGTTAGCCGCAGTCCGGGTTCTCAGGATTCCATCGCCATTAGTCATTGATTAATTGTATAGGATCTTGACTAAGTTATATATAATGTCTGAGTGTCAGTTACCTCACCTGTAAGATGAAGGGGAATGGATCGGAGAATGAAAATAAAAAGGCAAAAAGGCCGTAAATAGCCACTCAGAGACTAGGGTTGTAGCTACATTCCTTTATGAGGGAGGAAACTGAGGCCAAAGAAAGTAAGGTAGAAACAGATTTAGGATGACACCTAAATCTCCTAACTTATAGTCAAGTGCTCTTTCCACTGGAAGGTCCTGTCCATTGATAAGCTTGCCGAAGTTTACAAACTCACCTGATCTTAAATTTTTACATACATAACTTTAATATTTAAGCTACATAAATGTGGCTTCCAACTTGAAGAAAGAGGGGTTGGGGTATATTTGGAGGCTGACTTGGAGATAAACACAATTGATCAGCAACAGAGCAATGGAGAGACATGGCCATTAGTGTGTTAAATGGTATTTCTGGAAAATTTTCTCACAGGAGGCAACATGTTGGTACTTAAAGGATGAGTAAATGTAGTGGTTTTGTTTGTTTTTGTTTGTTTGCTTTAGAGGCAAGGTCACTCTTTTACCCAGGCTGGAGTGCAGTGATGCAGTAATAGCTCCTTATAACCTCACATTCCTGGGTTCAGGCAATCCTGCCAACTCAGCCATGCACAGGCCTCTGCCACTATGCTTGGCCAATTTTCTTTTCTTTTCCTTTTTTAGATGGAGTCTTGCTTTGTCGCCAGGCTGGAGTGCAGTGTCGCAATCTTGGCCCACTGCAACCTCCAACCTCAAGTGATTCCCCTGCCTCAGCCTCCCAAGTAGCTGGGATACAGGCACGTGCCACCACGTCTGGCTAATTTTTGTATTTTAGCAGAGATGGGGTTTCACTGTATTGTCCAGGATGGTCTTGATTTCTTGGCCTCGTGAGCCACCTGCCTCAGCCTCCTAAAGTGTTGGGATTACAGACATGAGCCACTGCGCCTGGCTGCTTAGCTAATTCTCTAAAACATTTTTTGAAAGACAAGAGGTCTTCCTGTGTTGCCCAGACTGGTCTTTGAATTCCTGGCCTTAAGCAATCCTCCTGCCTCAGCCTCCCCAGGTTCTGGGATTACAGGCCTTGGGCTATGAGTAAAAATTTGAACGCAAAGAGATACGACTGCTGGCAACCTGGGTCATAACATTACAGAGATCATTTAGTGGACTTGAGCAACTGGAAGTCATTCAGTTTACTTGGAGCTTAGGTTACATGGGAAAGAATGGCTACAGATAAGCCTGCCACAGATAGGTAAAGAAAAGACTGTGAAATATCTCATATGCTATTCTATGGAATTTACTTTTCCCGGAAATGATGGGAGAAAGGAATTACTATAGAACAAGGGAATGGCATAGTCATATAGACCTCTTAGAATGATTACTGAAAATATACTGTGGATATTTTGACTTGCAGAGCAGAGACTTGTATGAAGACTTCTGCAGATATACAAGTAAGCCTTGGGCCAGGAAGGTGGCTCAGGTCTGTAATCCTAGCACTTTGGGAGACCGAGGTGGGCAGATCACCTGAAGTTAGAAGTTTGAGACCAGCCTGACCAACATAGTGAAACCCTGTCTCTACTAGAAATATAAAAATTAGCCTGGTGTGTTGGTATGCACCTGTAGTCCCAGCTACTCAGGAGGTTGAGGCAGGAGAATCACTTGAACCCAGGAGGTGGAGGTTGCAGTGAGCCAAGACTGCGCCACTGCACTCCACCCTGGGCAAGAGAGTGAGACTCCATCTTATAAAACTTTTTTTTTAAAAGTAAGCCTTGGACTAGAGATGCAGCACTGGGGCTGGGAAAGAGGAAACTGATATTACAGGTATTAAGATTAAAAATCCCAGGACTTAGTGATTAGTTGGAAGTGATTGAGAGTGAAGTATCTGAAAAGGAGGCTAAGGTGACTTCATGCTTTTTTTACTTCAGTGGTGGAAAGTGCTATTAATCAAGTGAAGAAATAGAAGAGGCACTAGTCTGGTGGGAGGGAAAAGTTTTGAACATCATAAGTTTAAGAATATATAGCTTGGGCCGGGTGTGGTGGCTCATGCCTGTAATCCAAGCACTTTGGATGCCAAGGTGGGTGGATCACCTGAGGTCGGGAGTTCAAGACCAGCCTGACCAACGTGGTGAAACCCCGTCTTAAAAAAAAAAAAAAGAATATGTAGCTTAAGCTATCTAGTTATTCTTTGCCTTATAAAGACCCAGTGCTCAAGGTAGGGTTCTGAGCTATCATAGCATGACAGTCATCAGTGCATGGTTGATAATTACCTCTGTCAGTATGGGTGAGATTGCCCAGGAAGAGTGTGCTGAGTGAGAGAAAAGTGACAACAATGAAACTGTCAGGAACACCAACATTTAAGGGACAATCTAGGAAGTATTGGCCAGCAAGGAGAAGGCATGAATTACAATTTTAAATAGAATGATTAGGAAAAGGAGAACATCTTTCCCATCTGCCCATCTTTTTATGTTAACCTTTCCATATCCTTACAGTCTAGATGTTGTTTTGTAAAGAACATTTTATTGTGTTTTTTTTTTTTTGAGACAGAGGCTCACTCTGTTGCCCAGGCTGGAGTGCAGTGGCATGATCTCGGCTCATTGCAACCTCTGCCTCCTGGGTTTGAGGTATTCTCCTGTCTCAGCCTCCTGAGTAGTTTGGACCACAGGCGCTCACCACCACACCCAGCTAATTTTTGTATTTTTAGTAGAGTCAGGGTTTCACTGTTAGCCACAATAGTTTCAATCTCTTGACCTTGTGATCCGCCCGCCTCTGTCTACCAAAGTGCTGGGATTACAGGCATGAGCCTCCACGCCCAGCTTGTTCTGCCTTATAAATTAAATTTTGTTTTGTTTTCTTATTTCTTTACATCAATTATTTTTTTCTCATTTTATTTTTTCCTTTTACTAGTTTGGAAGTTATACCGTCTATTTTTATTTTCTTATCAGTTATAATTAACTTTTTAATTTTTTTGAGACAGAGTCTCACTCTGTCTCACAGTGGCTCAATCTCAGCTCACTGCAACCTCTGCCTCTGGGGTTCAAGCTGTTCTTGAGCCTTAGCCTCCTTAATAGCTGAGATTACAAGTGCTTGCCACCATATCTGACTAATTTTTGTATTTTTAGTAGAGACAGGATTTTGGCATGTTGGCCAGGCTGGTCTTGAACTCCTATCCTCAAGTGATCCTCCCAAAGTGTTGAGATTACAGGCATCGCGCCCAGTCTTCTTTGCTTACTTTTAATATGTCTTTGACTCTCTATGTGCCAGGTGTGGATACCAGCATAAGTATGGTATGATTTTACTTTGTTTGTACTGCTTCAAATTAGCTGGGTAACCTGAACCTCAAGGTGGTTGTCTTTCTTTCGTTCTTTACATTTTTAATTATTATCTCTTCTAGCCTTTCTGCTACTCTATTTTCTGTCCCCCCTCTTTCTGTAACTCCAATTAGATATATAAGATTAATAGTGACACTTAAACAATGCTTACAGCTAATACTTACATGGCACTTACTATGTGCCAGGCATGGTGGTCAATGGTTAACAATAATTGATTTAATCCTCATGAAAACTTCATGAGGTAGGTACTGTTATTTTCCCACTTTACAAATAAGGAAGATGAAGCAGAAAAAAAAAGTTGGTCACTTGCCAAAGATATAGGAGATACTAAGTGGTAGAACCAGCACATGAAGCCCAGTAATCTGATTCCAGAGTCTCAACCACAATGCTATGAAACCTCATTGTCTTTTTGCTACTCTTCAGAGTTCATTATTCCCCTCTTTAAGGCCTAATTTTGTTTTGCTTTGTTTTGTGGGTTGGTTTTTCTTGTTTTTTTTTTTTTTTTTTTTTTTTTTTTTTTTTTTTTTTTT